GAAGGAAGGAAGGAAGGAAGAAAGAAAGAAAGAAAGAAAGAAAGAAAGAAAGAAAGAAAGAAAGAAAGAAAGAAAGAAAGAAAGAAAGAAAGAGAAAGGGAGAAAGAAAGGAAGAAAGAATCCTCAATCTTTTCTAAAATGAGCTCATATGACAGCTAAGGTTCCTCCTAGGAGAAGATGGCCTGAATTCCCTTATGAATGGGTACACTGAAGCTCAGAGAGCTGACTGTGTGTGTGTGTGTGTGTCTTTTCCACAGCCCTACCTCTCAGTGTCCTTGAAGTACCTTTCTTGTCTTGGCCATGACTCGGATGAGCTGTCAGTGAGGACATAGAGCTAGCTCCCTGAGAAGGAGGCTAGAAGGTGTGAAGACACTCACATTTGCATGGCCCGATGTAGTCCAGGTGCAGCTTGTGACCCTTCTTGGTGCCCTCCAGGGTGCACTTGGTAGCGAAGAAGTGGCAGGAGGAGTCAAAGGTCTTGTTGTCATTGCTGCACACCTGTTGGCCAAGCACAGGGCACCTGGTCTTCACCCCAAAGCCCGACCTGGGATCCCTGTCCTTGCCCCTTTCAGAGATGGGGACACGGGACCCAAATGATGAATCATAACAGCCAAGTGCTCACACACATGGTGAACTAGAGATTGGGGAACAGAAGCCCACAGTGGTGGTCTGGAAGAAAATGGCCCACCTACGCCCAAAGGGAGTGGCACTATTAGTGATGGCCTTGTTGGAGGAAGTGGTCCTTGGGGTAGGGGGGCTTTGAGTTCTCAGATGCTCAAGCCACACCCTGTGTAGCAGTCTCTTCCTTCTGTCTGTGGATCAAGATGTAGAACTCTCAGCTCCTTCTCCAGCACCATGTCTGCCTTCATGCCACCATGCTTTCCACCATGATGATAATGGACTAACCCTCTGAAACTGTAAGCCAGCCCCCAGTTAAATGTTTTCCTTTATGAGAGTTGCTGTGGTCATGTGTCTCTTCACAGCAACAGAACAGTGACTAAGACAGTCACTCTAGACCCCACTGTTCCACCATGTGAGAGCGATGGGTGATTCTGGAGCAGAAGCACATCCGAGTCATGGCCAAGACAAGAAAGGTACTTCAAGGACACTGAAAGGTAGGGCTGTGGAAAAGACACACACACACACACACACACACACACACACACACACACACACACGGAAAAAAGTACACAGCAAGCCAGGAACCATGGTGGTGCACACCTTTAATTCCAGTACTCAGGAGGCAGAGGCAGGTGGATCTCAATGAGTTCAAGGCCAGCCTAGTCTACAGAGCTAGTTCCAGGACAGCCAGGGCTACATAGAGAAACCCTGCCTCAAAACAAAACAACAAAAACAAAAAAAACAGAAAACTAAGCAAAACAAAACAAAAACTTGCCACCAAGCTTACTGAACTGAGTTTGATCCTGGGTAGAAGAAGAGAATTGACTCAGCACAAACACACACGGGCACACACACAAACACAAAGAAGGAAGGAAGGAAGGAAGGAACAGAGGGAGGGAGGGA